GCGGCTGTGTGATTAAAGCAAATTGGCTTATTAAGCCGACGATTTGCATTCAATTACGATATTTAATAATTTCAATGATTATTTCTTAATCAAGTTTTGACATTTGTCTTCTAATTGTGGAAATGAGTGTTTAAATATAGATTATTGTCCAACAATGTGAATTTTTAATGCACAATCAGCTTCAATCTACAATATATATAAGAAGAGTTATTTCTCAAAACGTTCCTATTCACTTTTAACTTCACATCAAGTTCTATCTTAAAAAATAACTGTCAACTTTATAAACGTATCTAAAATGTTTAAAAAAAACTTATTTGAATTAAACAATATTTCTTTGTTTCTCGAAAAATTTTCAAATAAATAAGAAATAGTCTCGCGTTAATATTTAGAACTGTGTAACGGCATATTGCAATAATCCAAGTTTGCTTTCTTAATTTCCTCGATTCAATCAGTATGTTAAATCCTGCCTGGTTGTGTAATGCTCGGAAAGTTTGGGAATCCCTGACGTACGAGGGCGGCCGCCATGCACGTAGGCGCATTAAACGCGAATTACCCGTTTGCATCATACCCTCAAATGCGGATCGCACCACGGACACTCGGGACTGTCTTAGATTGCGTACCAATGCTGCTGAATAATTTCCGTCCTTCGTGACACGGAGCCGAAGCTTGATTTGCGATTTTACCGGTGCAACACGAGGCGCAAGCGTACGAAACGCCGTTCCCGCGGAGTTACACATCGGAGGTAATAAAACGCGGTGGTAATTACTTGGCCAGACAATCATTAATCTTCATCGTTGTATCGACCGCGTCGATAAGTTGCCTCTCGCGACGCTCCATCGTTGTTAATGAAACGGCGTGATATATATCCACCGCGATTTTCAGAGATAAAAGCCTGTACGTGCTTTCATAAATCAAATTTTTACACTGTTGTAAAAAAAAAAAAAAAATACGCATAGAAATGGGAATGTATTTGTTGCAAAGACATTGCAAAGACACTCGTGACTTTTCAACGTCGTGATGCTTATTAGCGCAAGAACAAAAGTTTTCATAAAGAAAACTTTGTCTTCCCGACGAAAGACTAGGATAAAACTTCTAATTATTTTCATCGAAATACAGTAAAAAATTTACACACTAATGCCATTAAAAAAAAAATATATATATATATATTACTACTCGCAGTGCGTCGTATTTTATTTTTAAATGGTGTTAAACGCTCCAATGAAGCAGTTGAATGAGGAAACGCTTTCGCTAACAGGAGATCTTCATAATGCCGCGAAAGCCTTTCGCCCTTTCCCTTCCCCTCTCGACAGGCATCCCAGTATTTGAGAACCGTCACAGTAGGCTCGACGACTTCGCGACGACATTCACGACAGAAATAAATACGGAATGAAAAGGGCTCGGCTTCTTTCCACGGAAAGGATATAATTGCCAGAAAAATAAACGATCGCAAAGTCTGTTTGCCCACGTCTTTCTCCACCACCTACCCGCGCCCAGCGAGGCGGAACTCTTCGTACCCCCCCGTCTTCTAGTCTTCTCCCCTCCCCCTTCCTTCCCCTCTCCCTGAGCGACCCCCTCGGTAGTCTGCTCGCGCCGACTACATCCCCCATTCGGGATCCTCGTTCCCTTTTATCTCCTCTTTGGCTACCTTCCGTGCACGCTCCACCTACACATCGCTACCCTCGTCGTCACTCTCTCACTCCCCTCTCCTCTCTCTCTCTCTCTCTTTCTCTCTCTCTCGCGTACTCAGTCTGTTCTCGCGTTTCTTTCTCGTTTCCATCGACCACCAACTCGCGACTCCGTAGAAAAGCTCACTCGAGTCGCGGGTCAACGAATTCGCAATTACGATCTTTCACGTCGACGTGACTACCTACTCTCTCGTCGACTTCGGTATATCCGGACGCCCCCCCCCTCTCCCCCTCCTGCCCTCCCCCTTCCTCATCCTCGACCGCGTACGCCTTCGCCGCGATGCAGCCTTCTCGGGATTTTCTTAGTAAATCTATCACGAAAGCCGATAATGCGAGGTGTTCAAATGTTGGTATCCATTTAGCAGAAAATACATCAATATACGTGGGAGAACGAGAACGGTCGGTGACGTCGAGCGAATTGTAAGTAGGTCGAAAGAAATGTGACGCGTGACGTTAAACATTTATCTCTCTGATCTTCGAAATCAGGCTATGACATTTGTCGTTCGCGCGCCAAAGCGCCGACATAATTGATGTACATTGAATTTACGGTGCGCGCGCGCGCGAGCGCGCCGCAGCACGGTATTTCCGTTCCGCTGAAATGGATTATGCATTGTTGTCAAATCGATTGATATCAATAGACGCAGCATTCGCAGCGGTCCTAATGCACCATTCGGCTTTCGCTTCGTACTAAAGAGAGAGAGAGAGAGAGAGAGAGAGAAAAAAAGAGGAAACGATACGTGAAATAACTCAGAAATGCATACTGCCGTGTACGAGAAGTCATTTTGATCCGACGTGTGCATCGGACAGTTAACGTAATTTGTTCCACGAATAAATTGCGCTTCGCGCGTCGGACACGTACAACTTTTCACTCGTGCAATCTTTATACGTACTCTGACCTTTCGAATCGTGGCGGAAAAATCCCGGTCTCGGCCGAATCGCAAATTGGGTTCACGTTTCAGCGGACCAATGAGCGGAAAACGTCCCCGCGGATGTAAAGCACGCAGGCGTGCCCGCGCGACGCGCGAGAGATATCGGAATTCGAAGGAGGGAAAAAAAAAAGAGGGATTGCGCGTAGCTGTGTCATACACTTACTCTCCTTTGACACACTTTGAGACACGCGCGGCGACGATGCGATGTAAAAACAATGCGACGGCCCTTCAAAAGCTTTGTCAGCCGACTCCCTCGCTTGCTTTCGCGCGCCACTCGTCTACGTGCCACGTGAGTGCGCTCATAGGCGTCGAGTATTTGCGTCATGCGTAAGTATGAAATGTCTTTCATTTGAAAATATGTTTTTAAAGAAAGCGACATATCCGACGTGAAATTCAAATTCGCGAGAGATTTGCAAAAATGGTAAAGAAATTGGCACATCTCGATTATTGCGAACGAAAAATACCGCATTTGTCCATAAAGATCTTACATTACGAGCGAACATGAATATCTGTTGAGTCTCGCACGCGAAAAAAAAAAGAAAGATACACGATGACTCGACGCCAATGATTTTACGATGCGGATAACGTTAAATACAACCGCATACATATGGAATTCGTACATTATTCGGAAAGAAAGAAGCGTAACTAAGTGTGCGCCAGCACGCGCGCATATAGACGCGGTACGTGCGAGCGGAAACGACAGTATAGAGTGCCGTTCGGTTTTTGTTCTTTGAGGAGCGAGCAAACACGTGTGGTGGCTACGTGCCCACATCCTTCTTGACAACGCGCGAGAATTTATGCATTGAACGCCGGTGCAGGCCGGTAAAGAGAACGACGGAGTCGAATGTTCTCGATGCCTATGTGCGGAGGCGCCTGGATTGCGCGATTTTCGCGAAGTAAATTAAGACTTGATTCGAACCTTTTCAGGGCAGATATTTTCGGAAAATTCAATAGCTTATTTGCGACACAAGTAAAGAGAAATATGTAAAGATTGTTCGTGCGATAAATAAATGCATCAGTAAAGTAAAGTACCGGCTTCCTATTTAAGCGCTAAGAGTGTTAGCGATAGTAGTCTTCGTTTGAACAAGCTTTATCACTTTGTAGTAATTCAGTTTTGACTTCTTCCACCGTTGCGCGGAGATACATCGGAGTCTGAGCCACGAATCAAATCGTATTTTAAACCGCGTTGCTCGCTAGGTCGCGCCAGTCTAAATAATTCATTCCATGAATTATTTCTGTTCCTATTCCCGACCCGCAACGAGAATCGATCTCTTTGATCGCCGGCCAACCCTCCTCAGCAGTCGCGAGCACTTTGTCCCTACGTTTCTATCCCGATTATCCCGTAATCGTGCGCGCTGCATATTTCAGCCGTTCAGCCTCCGCAGCTTTTCCGCATCCTTCTTTCCGGATTCGCGGATTCAAATGCGCGAAACAAATACCCGTTTTCGACTGCCGCGCCGGCGAACATCATATTCCACCGATTGGAGCATTTTGTTTTCTGAATAAGCAAACGGCGAGCCGCCCGCCGGGCGTTTATTTTACTTGGATATCGGGGAAAACCTGCATTATATGTAAACGTAGCTTTCAGCGTTCGGGAACGGATTATAGAAGCTCGCGTACGCTGCTTCTTAATCCAGGGATTTCGGATGAAATATTTGGTAGATGCTATCGGGCAGTGACGCGACCGTTCGCTCCAGCGTGCATTTAATCCCGGAACGAGCATGGTCTCGAATCGATTCGAAATCTAGGTCGAATTCGGCTTAGTGGAATTGATTTCTCCGGTTTCTCGGTTGCGAACAATGTATACGTCGTGAGGTTTAGACCGGCTTCGCAAATCAGGTCGTTCCGCCCGTTTCGACGAGACAAAAGATAAAATTCTATCCGCAGCGCTTACCGACCAACAAAATCGAATAATCGTTTCGACATTCGAGTTTAATCCATGAGCAAATCTAAATCGGAACCACCGCCGCTGTCGCATACGCCATCGCTGTGCGAAGAATAGACATGGCGAAAGATATTGATTTTTAAATAACCGTATAACGAACTGTTAGAACAAATTTCATTTGTGCGACACAACATCTGCATATGCCGGGCTGATAAAGCGCGCCCTTCGTATCACTGTCGTCGTAGCAATTTTTAATCGTCCGTTTTAAATATAGATTCGATAAGGGTGACATAAAAATTTTCACCGTCGCTTGAATGAGGTATACTTGTCGCGTAATTTCTCATCAGTGGGCTCGTTAAGAATTAAGTGGATAAAAGACAATATAAGTTAGCCAAGTTAAATTAATCGCGCTTGACCGTCTCTCATTGAGCGCGCGTGAGACGCTGGCGGGAGATGCCGCGATAGAAAGCGGCGTTAACGAAATGCGCTTTTTTGTTTCAGGGTGCGGCGTGAAGTTTGCGCTCGGTCAGCAGGGCCCGGTCTTCGTCCTGGAGCCGCCGAACACCCTAGTCTTCTCGAACACCACGGGCTCTCAATTAGGCTGCTCGGCGCACGGCAGCCCGACGCCGCACGTCACGTGGATCACCAGCCCGGATCAGAGATCGGTCACGGCGGTTCCGGGGCTCAGGTAAGTCACGTGCCACGTAATCACGTTAACGCACGCCCAGCGAACGTCACGCTCGTGCGTTCGGCTCGCTTTTGCGTGAATTCTACCCGGGACACTGTTCGCTTAAATAAAAACGAAGTGCCTTGTAGACGCGCGTAGCTCTGGACGGAGCGGAAAACTCTCTTATGACTGTCTTATATATTTATTCCGCTATCGCATTTGTCCCGTTACGCGGATATCAGCGAGACTTGTTTTATATTCTCTCAGGCAACTTCTGGGCAACGGAACGCTATACTTTCCGCCGTTCCTGGCTCAGGATTTTCGAGCCGAAGTTCACAACGCCCGATATAGATGCCGTGCGACCAGCTCCGTCGGGACCGTACTTTCTCGCGAGGTCACTCTTCGCGCTGGTGAGTTATTTTATCCACGTCTTATCCCTCCCGAAAGTGAAAGCATAGTCTTGTAGACTTAACGTAGAAACTTATACGGCCGAGAGATTTCAAAATGTTTTCCCTGCAGATCCAAAAACTATAGCTGCGAGATAGTTTCGCAAGCGAAGAGTCAAATGTTTATTTTTTCTTTAGATATTTTTTCAACTTTGCAACATTTAAGTTAGAATTTATTTATTTTGCATTTTTACTAACTAAGAAAAGTTATCGTTCCAGCGAAAACGGTCGTGGTATTTTATTTCGGGGGAAAGGGAAAAAAAAAAAACGAAAAACCTATCGCGCGGATAAAGTCTTATTGCGTTTCACCACTGCGAATCGACAGTCCATTAATGCCTGCAATACGCGCGATAACCGTCATTTATCGAAGAAACGTCATTCCCCGTACGGGATTCGTTGCGAATAACGGACTGGAGGTACCGAACATCCCATTACGTCGGAGTGCTGCTACGGCGAGTGCGGAGCCAACACCTCGCATTTTCGACCGAGAGGCTTCACGCTATCCAAGTAAATACCGAAGGGGGAAATGGTTGAAAGCCGTTAAATTGTATCGGAGGAAGTTCGATTCGAGTACGTGGGCGGGTCTTCGGCGCGCTGAAAGCTCCGAGAAGGGACAAAACTTTGTCCGGCCGGCGCTACGTGAGCCATCATTTAAATGGCTGATTTTAAACCGATCATTACTACTGGCGGCCGCGCTAAATTCGCCGGCGTTCGCTATACGACTGCAATTGGAGAAGAATCCTTCTTTCGTTTTCGATTTACCTTCGATCCAAATAACCGAGTCGAGTAATATCAGTAAAGCAAGTAATACAAGTCTGACGTAAGAGCGCTAATCCCGAAAAAGATTATTTCCCGATATCACCGATTGAATGCACATCTTTAGAAACGTCTTTAGAAATAAGAGTGGAGAGCTGAAATACTTTTTTGCCGAATATACGCCGAAAGCTAAAGGAAGGATTTCTCGAAAAGAAGCCGGGGAAGAAAAAAATTGAAGAGAAATTTCCAAGATTGAATAGTAATTTACTTTCGCGTAAAATGTTATTTCAATAACACTCGCAGCAGTCCTTCGAATATCATTACGGTGATAAAATCGAAACGGGTGAATCTATGCATGAGATGATAAATGCATAGCGCGAAAAAATATATAGATGTTGATGAAAGAAAGCGACGCGCTTGTTCACTTTTTAGCCGGTGCATGTAACCTTTTAAATGGGTAAACATTGATCGGTTTCACGAAGCTCTAAGCTTACGTTGCACTTAGGACGCTTGCTTTCCCGACGGCATTTTCATGACGCATTCTCAATCCACCCGGGAAAAAGTGACGTTGGTTTTGCAAAAATTGACTGCCGCCGCGTAAACCGCGTGAAATCTAATGTCAAAAATTCAAGCAAAGTTACTTATTTAAAAAAAAAAAAAATAATGATACTCTCACAGCATGTAATACGATGTGAAACGATTCTCGCGCGAAATATCGACGGTTTTAAAGCTCGGCACGCCACATGTCAAACAATACGTTTCACCGTATTTCAATACACTTTTGTGCAAAATGCACGTAATGCAAAATGAAGCTCGGTCGTATTTCTTGCCGTATTCCTCGGCGCATACAAATTCGAAGAAATCCAAATACTCTTTGATGCCGCTGCAAAGACGGCTGTCTCTCCTTTCAAAGCCGCTTCTCGCGCGAGACGCGAGACGGAATGTGCGCGCTCCGGCCGTCGGTCCGGGAACTTCGGGCGAAAAGTTTTTCAGGATGATTCGACTAAAATGGGAAGAAAAATTCGCTTCGCCGCTAGTGGTTTCCGAAAGTTTTCCCCCAAAGTCACTGGACGATGAAAGAACGTCCAATCGATACCTCTTTGCCGCGCCGTCCTTGTCCCGCGCATGGACCATCTCCGCCGATATAGAGCTTCATCTATCTCCTCCCCACGGCGCTTTCGTTAAAAGTTCACAGTTCGCCCCAAAGTATAGGCATAAATAATCAGGCTATTCTGTGCTCGGTGCTTTTCGGAGAAAACAAGTTTAATATAGCTTCGAAATGATGCACGGCGGTCGTCATACATAAATTGAAGTTATTTTTCCCGTGAATCTGGTTTTTTTAAAACAACACAAATTGCCAAGTTGAAAAGTTGACATTTTATCGCTGACGTACATATATCATTTTAGTAGTTTTAGTATATCCTTAATAAAAAGTCCTTAAAATATTTCTTTAAAATGGCATTTGTTACTTAATTTTTTTTTCAGCAAATGGAAAGTCAAAGTTAATTAATTACTTCACGTGTAACTCAATTGCGTATAAACATTTCTCGCCAATGTTAAATTTCCTTTTTTAGAAAAAAAAAAAGACAAAACGCTGAATGGCGATAACAAGTTATTATGTACAACTATTACGCCGTATAATCTCGCGCAATAGCGCTTAAAAGTTAATTGCTATTCGCATGTAATAGCGCGACACGCGTTCATTAATGCAACGCGGAAGTTGGGGATTATCTAAGATCCCCCATCCCTCCCCGCAATCTCCCCCTCGTTTCACTTTATTTCTCTCTGTACACGGGAACAGCGACCAAGGCGAACCTTCTACCGGTGCTTCCTCTGAAACGAGCGAGCCAAAAAGGAACGGTTCACTTATCTAAAATGACATCGGCCATCCCCACGTGTTAGCCCCACGCCAAAGGACTTATGCTCCAAGAGAGAGTCATTGTCGAAATCCCCTTTTGTAAGGGCCGCGCTTTCCGACGTCGAGGTCGAGAATTCGGTACCAACGTGTCCGGCCTTCGGCGAGAAGAACACTCGTCCCGAGGGTGGGATCTAACGGGACGAAGGAAATATTCATTATCCTGCGTAACACCGTCGTCGAGCACGGCCGGTGGCGCGGAGAATAATGTCTGAAGAGGTGTTCGCGTCTTAAAAAATTTAAAAAGGGGAAATGTATCGCGCCGGCTTAACCTTTAGCGAGAGAATAATCGCCGCACGGTGATGACGTTCCGCCAAGCGGTTCGCTTAATCTCAACTCTTTTTATTTTTTTTTCAAGTGATTTCATTATAGTAGGTGCACGTGAAATGTATATACCGACCGCGGGGGTCTTATATTTCACGTACTTTGCATTCCGCCGCGGTTTTCCCGGTAACGAAAAATCGCCCGAGGGATATTTAACGTCGAAAAAGAAAGAATCTTCATGAATTCACCCGTGAAGAGATGAATAAATAATCGCCTCACTTTTATATATAATAATGTATGTAAATTAAGATTTAATATAAGAACCGAAATTCGTGTCAGATCAGGGCTTCGTACGTTCGACGGATTGAATTTTAAAGGAGATTACGAAATGAGCGCGGAGGGAAGTGTAATAAACACCGGCGGGCGCAATAAATGCTGCGCATGCATGGGGATTAAACGGCCGAGTCGCACATTGTATCATATCTTACACCCTAATCCCTTAAAATTTGTGTACTGGATATTTATACGCTCGTATTTCGCGACGAAATCGTATTTCTCCATACACGTGCCGAGTATGGATGCTATAGGAAAGAATTATTGCCCACCGCGCAGTGAGAGATCACCCGTTTCCGCAGACGGACGATTCTCCAGCGTACCGCTCTTATTCTTCTTTATTTTCTCCATTTTATCAGCGGGAGGGTGGGGGGGGGAGGTGGGGAAGGCGCGCGACTAGAAAAAGAACGTAACCACATTAGCAACCCGCCACTAGTTCTCGAGAAATGGTCCCGGGCAGAAAAAGGTTCGCCCTTTTCGGACGACAAATGCTTGTATATGTGTAATTCCAGCAAAACGGTCGACGGTTTTAATCACGCGCGGAGCGCATTTTTGTTTTTCCGAAAAAACAAATTTCGCAAGAAATATCTCGTCGTGAGATACGGAAACTGGCAGCGAAACATTTAAGAAATGCAATTAAAGAATCACCCGGGCTTCCAGGCGCGATTGCAACGTGCGATGTGTCCTCCGGCGAGATAAATAATTCGAATAAGTTCGTTCGCCTTTATCAAACTTTATCCGCCTCTCTAAATATTTGCCCCATTTCCGACGCGGTCCCCGGCTAGTCGCGATGTAAGTGGCGATATATACGCCGCCCCGGCGGAAATCCATCTCCAGAAAATTTGATTTTAAAACTCTAACCCGAGGTAAGAACCCTGTACAAGCGTAAGTCTGGCGAAACACGCTTCGTGGCGGCGATGCATCGATACGCCACGGTGCCTGTGCATTTTCACGCTGCATCAGCGCGTAATGGGCGGTGAGCGAGCGCGCGCGCGGCGATATCAGAGATTCGGCATGAGCGATCGCGCGAGAGGGAAGAAGCCCCGGGTGTGTCGGGGAGGGGCAGATCCCAGCGCCGAGAAGAGAGGAGGAAAGTTAATTCCAACGATTTCAAGAAATTCGTGGAAATATCGTTGCTCGCCTGGCTGGAGATCCGCGCGCATATTGGCTTTATTTGCACATTTCGTTTCACCCTCGCTCGCTCGCGCCACGCCGCGCCCTTCTCGCCGGCGCATCTCAATTTTATCGTCACGTACGACGGTCCCCCCCTTCCACCCGCGCCCCTTCGCCGCCCGATTCACGAACCGGCGTCTGACGGGGTCGCGGCGGAGGGTGCCCGGGCGTCGGGACGCCATCCGAGAAGGCCCCCAATTTCCGACGCCCGGGACGACGGAAAGGGATGGGACGCGGACGCGACCCACGTTTCGTCACTGCGCGGGCGGCAGTTCCTCCGACTCGCAACCACTCTAGCTTTTCTCGTTTCGCGTCTTCTCCCCGATGCACGTCCCTTGGCCCCATTCGCCCGGAGCTTTTTAACTCCCTCGTTT